CTCAGCCACAGAATGCATATACCTGTAGAGTTTTGCATGGGTTTTATATAAATACAATTTAAAAAAAAAATAGCTGCTTGCACATTATACCAGAAAAACCTCCAAAACTGCAATTGCTTTGAAAATAGATTTTAGGTTTTTTGGAGTTTTCTGAGATGCTTGGTCTGTATTTTGATAATTGTGCATATTATGTAAAAATGTTGGTGGACCCATAAATGACCAGACTTTTTCTAAGAAAAATGTTGCTTTAATGCATTTCATGAATTTTTACTCTTATATCATTGCTTGCTAGTAATAGCAAATCTGCTTTTCTGCATCTGCTTTGCGTAGCTATTGTAAGACTTTGAACTAATGTATGTATTTATTGCTTGAACTTCTGTGCATACCTTATAAAGCATAATGTCTGACAATTTAAATGGCTCATGTATTCTTGCTTCTATCATAAGCTGAGGACGGGGATTATGATCTTTTGTATACAGCAAATTTTACCTGTAGCACAAACATCTGTTTATGTATTGGTGGGATATATCTGTTTTATTTATCTTTTTTGAGGTAAACTAATTTTTGATACTTTTCATTACTGTGTACCCTGTTCATACCTTGAATTCTCTGACGTTAGAAGTCATGGTTGAGAATTGTAACAGCTGTTATTCGTTCTGTATTCATGGCTTTCACTGCTGAATAAAATAAAGGACCAAACCTAGGATTTGAAAGAAAACTGTCTACCTCTAACACCAGGGAGTTATCAGATTTTATTTTACATAGTTTTAGTCTACAAAGTCACAATTGCTTAAACCTAGTGGGCTTAAGGCTTATATTCTGTGTGGTTGAATTCATGGCACAGTTGCACTGTTTGAAAATCAATTAAAGTTTCATGTGAATGTTACAAGTATTTGGCAGAATTACCACTAACTGGGTTTTCTTTAGATAAAGCAGATATGGGGGAACTGTCATCGGCATTCTGTGTCTACAGCTGATTAACTTCATAAGGATGCATTTCTTTGTGGTTAGGGAATCCAAGCACAGTCAGCGAGGATTGGAGCTACTGAACTGCACTTAAGTATAAACCAGCCTGGACTCAGATGTCCTGGGTAGCCCATAGTCTGATTTACAAAATTCCTCAAAATGGGCATTCGCATTTTGGGGTTTTTTAATTATTATTATTATTTTGCCTGCACACTCTAATTTCAATGTGCATTCTGGACGTGTAGCTTTATTACGGCTCTAAAGCTATTAACCAGTAGCCCGTTTTACCCTTGTTATTTCAAGAGTTCAAATCAATATGGAAGGGTTTTGTCCATTAAACTTGGCATATTTAGCAACAAAGGATGTACATTTTACTATAGAATTGATGTATGAACAGTGTTTTCACTGCTGATGGATGTAAAAATGTATATGAAACCATTTCATTCGCTTGCTTACGTTTCTGGAGTATAAATAAAAAATATAATTCTTTTTGATCCATTTATAACCCACAGGGTTTTATTCTTTCTGGGAAGAACTTTCTTCCACCTTAAAGAGCTCAGTTAATAGAAGTATTTCTGTAGCTTGCTGTAGCTCGCTTATGTAGGGCTTGGGATACATGAAGCATACCTAGTTTTATCCAAAATAAAAGTGAAAAACCAAATCATCAATGGCAGCAACACATTTCATCATGTGTGTTTTTTTGCAAGATACAGCACGTTGTTAAACACATTAACCCTTCATGCAGCCATACCCTGCCTTAGTGGGTTTTTTTGCATGTGAAGAGAATTTGCTAATCTCCCTTTTGATAGTGATTTAATGGAAAACTTCATTCTTAAGAAAATTAATTCCTCATAAGGCTTTTTCTGGTTTTTATATTGGGGTTTTTTTGATTATTGGATTTGGAAGGCAATAGCTGGAAATGTAATTAATCCGCTGTTTGTGACCCACCCACTCAAAAATTCTGGACGTATCCACTTGTATGGGTGTCCACTACCCATTGACTTGTTCCAAATGCTGGGTGCCGCAGTCGAGCAGCACATAATAGCCTTCTGCCTCGTGCCTCTGGCTGGTCTAAAGAAGACTTTTTTTAAATTTCATAGAAGAGGTGGTGGTGGAGTTCTTTCAATATCATGAATAACGTTAGAATCAGGTCTTAAAGTATTTCTGTCTGAAGAGCTTAGTAGTAAATCATAGAATCAAAGAATGGTTTGGGGTGGAAGGGACCTTTAACGATCATCTAGTTCAATCCCCCTGCTGTGCACAGGGACATCTTTCACTAGATCAGGTTCTCAGAATGTTTTAATATCTCTTACCTAAGTTCTCAGAACAGCACTTGTATACTGACTTACAAGAAATACTTGTAGAAACATACTTTCCATGTAACTTTCCCCTTAATAATTTAGAAAAACCTCAAAATATACAATATATACAGCTCAATGCAATTATAGCAGTTGTATCTATGCTAGAATGTGTTTTCTTTCAGTACTTCTACAGAGCAGAAAAATTACATATCCTAACTATGATGCTTATTTATTAAGAACCTAAATGATGCTGGTACTAGAGCAAATGGAAGCCATCTCTAAGCATGTAGAAGATTTTTGATCATAATGGGTGTATCCAGTAGTAGGTGCATTCATGCCGTTAAAATACACCTTTTTGTTTGGTTGTTCTTTCTTTTCTTTTGGCTTTTTTTTTTAAAAAAAAGCATGTATTATGTATATTTAAGAGACCAAATATTCTGTTAGAAACCTGCATCTGCCAACAACCACTAGCAAGCACATGGGAAGGAAGTGAGAACTTCGACCAGTCCAACTGTGTTTGAACAGCCTGGTGAGAGTCGCTGTGCACTGTGCAGACAGAGGATTCGGCGTTACCGACCTGTTGCTCAAACCCTGTCAATCTTCAGCTGCATCTGCAGCCCTGTCAATACAGTCATGAGGAAAAAGCTGCTACAGGTTTTCTCTCACTGTAGGGGAGTACATTTCTCTGTGACAGTTCTTTGGCTCATATTCTTCTGGAAAAACAGTATTTTTACTGCATTCTGGGCTTTCCTTAGTGGCACACTGGACAGCAGAGCCTGGGCCTGAGACTTATTTCAGAAATAAAATGTTTGTGGGGCTGAAAACTAAAGGGGAATCAATGGAAAATTGGTCACAGGCCCCATTAAAAGTATGAACGACACTTAGGGAACTTGTGAGCTCCTAAATCCTTTTGCAATTAAAGAAAAAGATCCTAAAATCAACAGCTACCCTCTTTCAAACTTTCATTTTTAATTATAATTAAGTATGCATAAATAACAAGAATATTGGAGCTTAGATGAATGTCAAGCTGTTTCAGTTATTTGGTCTCTACACAAGTATGCGTATGAGAAATGTTATCTAGGTGTTCCCTAGCAGACTGTCAAAAGTAATTTACAACATATTTCTTAAAACATACATTTTAACTGTAGTTGCATATCTGAGAAGTGATGGAATACACAATGATTAATGTGTCAGTGTTAAATCTCTGAGAATCGTGAGAAACTAAAACTCATCCACTGAAATTGAAGAAAATAAACCAAGAAAAATTGATGGACTCTGGTTATAGAAAGGGCTGTATATGTCAGTGGGATGTAGCTGAAAACCTTTCCACTGTTTCTTCTTCTAAGCAGTGTAAAGGCTGGGCCAGCAAATAACCAGGCAGGCAATCTGACTAATATTGCTAGAAATTAAAATACTGTATTGCAAGTTTTACCATTCCTACTTGAAGCAATTGAAGACTGAATCAGAAGTAAAAAATCATAAAGGAAAACAAATGAGCAAGAAATTAATATTGGGCGGGGAAGTGGGGGGGAGGGAGGGCTGCTAGCCTAAAAAGAAATCTTTAGTCGAAACTTTTAAGAATTATAATTAGAATTTTCGTCCATTGGGTAGTCAAGCAGTAATAATAAGGAATGCATTTATTGTTACAGTCCAATTTAACACCCTACGCCTGAAACACCAGTAAAATCTGTGGAAACAACTCCTGCAGATTAAAAGCACAGTGTGACTCTAAATAATTTCAGGGAATATTCTTAATTCAGGTGAGATTTTTAAAGACCCCTGAAGGCAGACAACCTTGTAGTATGTAACCAAATAAACTAGTATATCGAAGTGAACTTTGCCTCTCATAGCATAGCCATAGTCTGTGGCTGAATGAAAGTACCTTAGGTTAGAATGTAGAAATCAAAAGGTAATAAAATTTCTGTGAGAAAATAGGGACAAAATACTACTGAAGGTTAAAACCTACTGAAGGATTTTTAAGTTCCTGTATCAAAGGCTAATATTCTCATTTAGATTCTCTCCATCTGTGTCAAATCACAGCTGAAGCAAAAATAAAAGGTAAAATTTCTTTAGTACCACTTGTATTAGTAACCATGTGGTCAACAGCTTTTCAGCAGGTTCTTATGGCTTCCAAACAGTCTGAGGTCTAGAACACTGATGACAGACAACTGAGAGCGGGTGATATTTACCAAAACCTACAGCACTGATACATTGTTCACATTTTTACAGCAAATCTCTGACAAAAGTAAGGCTGTGCTGTAGTGTTTTATATGCTTTTAAATTTTAACAGAGATTTTCCTCTGTTTTCCATATAAACATTGTCATATTATCCCATTTTTCTCTAGTCCCTATCAAACCAAGATTGTATCTTTTTAAATACAGTGAGCATTAATAAGTGTATCTATATATGTATGTATATATAAATGTAAGTAGCTTTATAATAACTTGTTTTGTGTGGATCTGAATCAAAACAAGATCAAGCAACAGTGCCTAGCTTTATGGTTCATTTTGTATTTCAGTGGCATCTTTCCTGTCTTTAAGGAAGTGTTGTACTGAGAAAGGAAAAACTGATTAAGATTTTCAAGGTCTGTCTGTTGATTCCTTTTGTCATATTTCTTCTCTCCTGTACAATGAATAGTTAGATCCAGCACAGTGTAGAGGGGAAACTTGTACTTCACATAACAGCCAGATCTATGGATTTTATTTCAGGATTGTTTTTTTGTTTATTATACAAGAATATAGGGCAGGCACTGAAATTAAATATTTATGTCATACATACATTTTAATCCTATTTTTATTTTCTGAGTTTAGTAATAACCTAAGTGTTCTAGTGAATGCAGATTATTTTACTGCAGTATCATCATTACCCCTGAGTCCACAATTCATAACCTATGTGTAAACTTCTATATCCGACAGAAACACGTGGTAGTTAATGAGATTCAGTGGATGCTGGAGTTCGCCTGTGGGTATTTATGGCCACTGACTGCAGGACATCCCTCAGCCCAAGCCGGAGTCCTGGGGCAGTGGTAGAGTTTCTCCAGCTAATAGTTGTACCTTCCGTTTGGCTTCACGGCATCATTCTTGTCTGGATTTTCTTCTGGTAGCAAACTCCTTTCATTATATTTCAGCCATATTGTTTATTGAAATGTGTGCTTGGATGGGGAAAAACCCAGCACATTTTATATGCGAAGTAAAAAGCGACTCAAATTTGGTAAGATTCTTATCTCAAGACTTGTTCTGTTTTTCCCGTGTTTATGTTGTTGAAGAAGCCACTCAAAGTTACACCGTAAGGTACTTCTTATGCTTGACAGGCCAGATAATGTAATTTTATTTGTTGAGAAGTGGATACATCTTATGCAGAATCTGTAGTAACCCCTTCAGAATTTAATTCGACTTTCATGTTCTTTAAGGTAAGAAATATTTTAATAACATCTTATTGATTACTGGAATGTGTAACACAGACATCCCAAAGTGTTGATTTCTAATTCTCGTACAACAACATGCCTAGTTGCAGTGTTAATTCAGCACGGACATGAACTCATGCATCTCTCCTCCCCCTTTCAGGAGGTGGGATACTTGTTAAATTAATCAGATGGGAAGAGACAGCAGATTGAATAACTTCAAATAGTAGAAG